AAAAAAAAAATGAAGTTGAGAATTTGAGTTGAATTTAATGAAGAATTATTCATGGAAAATTTGAAGTTGCCAAACCACAAGTCACCCTCAAAAAATCATATGTCCAAAGATGTACACAATGAAAACAACAGGCAAAGTAGGGCCTAAAAAAGCAATTGGTTCCTTCCTTCACTTTTTCTTTCCTTTTTTTCTTTCTTGTTTTGTTGTTAATTTCTCTTTTTCCTTAAAAAAAAAGAAAAATATATATATATACAGTATTTACCATTCATGATTATTAAGGACAATAATGTTCACCTACCCACGGTGGACACATGTTAATATGCCACCGCTTATGTACCATGCACGCATTGGTGATGTTAATATGTTAAAAAAATACATCACCAATGTGTGCATGCCACATAAGCGGTGGACATATTAAAATGTGTCCACCGTGGGTAGGGGAGCATTACTCTTATTAAGGATAACACAACCTTATACTTTTACGTACTTTGTTTAATCATTTTCAACTTTATATTAATCATATCCGTATAATTTCACTAAGCACAATTTTTCCTTTTAGTTTTAAGATGTACAATTCTCTTAATGATTTTAAGGACATAAACATTTATCTCACTTACTTGCGTGTTCTTATAAAAATTAATTGGCACCATCAAGCTCAATAATCTATAATATTTCCTTCTAATTTGAAAGTTCAAATTTTATGTAATAAATATTAATGATAAGAGATTATAGTATTTAGACTTTATAAAACATAAAATTTATTTCAAACTATTCTGTTTGTCTCACTTTTATAAATATTTGTTAGGAAAGTTTTAGTATACACAGAGACCTTATAATTTATAAAATTAATTATTCAAAATTGTTCAAACATGGAGAGGCAAATGTGAGAGATGAGTTTAGAAAAGCTCAACATACCAATTGTATACTTGAAAATGAAAAGCTTCAAATAGACATGACCACGGGTCGCCCGGCCCGTGAATCGACCCGTGAACTTGCCCGGAACCGGCCTGCCCTAGCCGATTTTTGAACCGGTCGGAAACCCCTTAAGGACCAGTTACGTGTCATGTTGTAACCTTTTTTGACCCGCCGGGCCGGGCCAAAACCGAGTTTTCCAACGGGTCACAGTTATAATTTTATTCTTTTTTATTATTATTTTTTTAAATCGACGATTCAATGAACCGACCCTTAGATATAGTCGGGCCTATTGCGGGCCCAGCATTTGAGGCTCGCCAACCCGGCAGGCCGGCCGGGCCGTGAACTGGCCTGGACTTTGGCCACGTCTAGCTTGAAAGCTCTCCAAACAAGAAGCTTGTAGGGAGCCGTAAGCCACCGGTCAATATGGGCCCGGGTCCATGACCATCTAATTGCCTGAGCGAAAAGTGAAAGGAGGGCCTGGTGGGCCCATTTCCATTTTGGTTAAAAAAAGGGATGGTCCGGTTTCTTGTACTTTACTTCTTCCATGTCTGTCGTCTTCTGTGCTGTACGCATTGAAAAAAAGCAATAAGGTGGCGTATTATTGCAGACTTCAGCTGTTTAAAAATTTTTACAGTTAAAAAAAAAAAATGGATATGCACATGTCTTGAGAAGGAAATAAAGATATGTAATCTTGATTATTACTTTGATAAAGATAGTACTTAGTTGGTAATAGAATTTTAAGTGTATATTAAAATAATATTTAAAATAAAATAATTAAAATTGATTTAATGTAATTGTATGAGAGATGTGATGAAGTGATTGATTAGTTGAAACCATGTAAGTTGTATGAACAGTGAAAAAGTTGACGTGGAGTTATGATTAGTTGAAATCATGTAAGTTGTATGAACTGTAAAGAATTGGCGTGATGTGTAGGAGTGATTGATTGACATTATTTAATTATATTGATAATATTGAAGATAATGTGTTTGACTAAAGATGAATTGGAGTTTGAGTATGTAATTGAATATAACTTGAAATTCTTAAGATTAAAAAAAAATAGAAGAATCTAATTCAGATTTGGATCTTGTGTCAAGTAACACCAGAATGTCAAGTCCTGGTCCGAGAAGAGTCCAGTCGAAGAGTCAGCATCACAAAAAATAGATGCAACAAAAGAATGGATAAAAGTTCAATCAAGATCATTGTGTATTCGTAGTCTAGTGGAGTGGTTTGAAATTTAACTAAAAGATAATTAGTGATATATCCAAGTTTGATTGGACTCTTTGATAGTGTAAATGAAGCTTTGTAGACTTATAATAGTCTTTTAAAACTCAAATGATGGTGTGGTGTCAGTGTTGGAAAATCAGTCATTAAAATTTGGGTTTGATTCGATTTTGACTGATTTTTTATGGATAAAATTTTATTTGGGTTTGATTAAATTTGTAAAAAAAAAAAAAAAAAAAAACGTTCCGAGTAGATATTCGTGGTTAATCTATTTTCTTAAAATTGATTTTCAGTTAGTGAGAAGTAAATTAATAAGGTTAGCTATAAATGGGTACGTAAAACGATGATTGTGAGATTTGAAGAGTCAAAAGTTCTTCCTACATTTGAATCTTAACTAATGTTAATTCTCTTTATTATAATAAAGTGAGTTTGAGAAGTCACAACAACAACAAAGCTATGCACCAAATGCTGCTATTAGATTCGGCCACATGCGCGCGCCGGATCGCTCAGCTCGGGCACGGGACTTGGGTCTTGCTCCTTGGTCCTTGGCAACTGGACTACGGACTGTGAGCTGGACTTGGGCCGCCTTGGACGGTCTGGGCCAATATTGGGCTTGGTGCAGAGCTTGTGCCTTGGGCCCTACTATTTTGTGACTCAAATGGAAATCCAAATCAAGTTTGATTTGGACTCGAGTTTCTGACCTAACCCGAGTGAGACATGTCTAGGTTCACTAAATCTGGACGTGTAACCTTCTACCTTACCTTTTCACGTTCGTTTCTACTTTAAAAAAGGCTCGTTTTCACTTGTTGTTTTTTCGAAACCACATTTAGCTCGTTCTTATACCATACAATTAAATTCAGTATTTTTTGGAGGCTAAAATAATGTTAGTTTTATTTTACCAAAAATAACATGCATATTATCTGTCGGTGCATTGCTTATATTATTGGTTCACCAACACATTTAATTCATTGCTCACTACACATTTTTCACATATTCTATTAGTACCTAAGACACTACCCACTACAACATACAACCTATCACATTATTACTTAACACACCACACTTTCCATCTCTGCACCAGACATGCCATCTACCAGGGGCGGATCTACATTGGCATAAGAGGGGGCCATTGTCCCCCCAAAACTTTCCATTAAGCTTAATATATATGTATGTATATATGTATATTCTAAGGCTTTTAAAAATTTTAATATGTATTTATATATATACACACATATATATATATATATTATATTAAAAATTTATCAAATATATTCAATTTATGTTTATTTCCATAATTATTATAAGGATTTTTTTAATACAAGACCTGAAAGATAGGTAAACTATCAAATCAAAGCCTGAAAATTTTTTTTCTCAGTTCGGGACCTAAATGTTATAAAACTATCAAATTAAGTCCTATAATTAACAAAAACCCATAACGCCTTTAAATTGACAGTTAATTTGAAGTTTTAAAACACCAAATCTTTTACAAAGTAAAA